TCCTCAAATAAAGAGAAAATTCTTTTTTAACTGAACCGCTGGAATTCACGTACACGCTTTCAGGTTAAAGTGATCTGGTTGATATCTTTACAATTACCAGAAACAATCCACTTTACACTATCAGATTTAGATATTTAAAAGTTTCTAGAAATGCTGTCTTTGTTTCACTTTACTAGTAGACAATCAAAATCACTAATTTACAAACTGTGAACAGACCAAGTTCGAACCACAGTGCATTAGTCTAACTATCTAGATCAATTATCCACTTTCTAGTTGCTTCAACTGCAGCGTAAACAAATTTTTTAACTTGTAAACAAATAATATGTGGAAAAGTTACTGACTCCATATGAAGTTGCTTGCTAGGATATTCAAAGCTGCCGCTGGAATTATAAGTGCCTTCTGGATGTTGTCTTGCGTGGTATACATTCATTCATTTTATTATTATCACTTTCCTCCTAAACATCCACCTTGAGTATTTTCCTCGTCAAATTTCTCGATTGTTTTATACGATCAGATGTCTAGTCGCCCATTTGAGGATTGGATGAGATGTTTCGTGTAGCGGTTTTAGTAGTTTTATCACTGAGTTAACAAGGAAAAATAAATCTGCACATCATCAATTGTTTATCAAAATATACATGGTCCTTGTGCTCAGATGTAGATATTGGCCTAATCTGTTGCATAGTTAGTAAAAAACAGCTGGCAAAACGTTTTGAATAAATTGGTATTTGATCGTCAGTAGAGATCAGGTGACTAGGTAAAGCCATATTAGTGTCGTAGACCTGTTCAGATGTTAGGTAATTGATGTCCTTAATAACTGCGAGAATCCCAGGGCGGATAACTGTTAATGATTCACTTGACTTTATCGAATGAGACTGAAAGTTATGCGATATTTTTAACTAGCGGTTCAATCTCTAATAAGTGGTAGGCTGATATTATGTGTGATTCATTCCTGAGAGTCCGATAAATACGTGAAATATAACAGATTAAAGTTGGAAATAATGATCCGTAGTAATGATGGCATGAACAGCAGAATTTGGTATTGAGTTGTCAAGAAAATTCGAGGCCATGAACTACGTAGGCGTATGATTTATGCGACACGCATAAGCCAGTTTAGTAAATAAGTCTCGATCAGTATAGTCTGCGTGAAAGAGCTGGGAAGTAGAAGGGGATGAACAATATTTAATTGTACATGTTGGAAACTTCTTTCGGATAATGGGAATTTGTATAGGGCAATTAATGTATGGCAGCGGACATTGATGAACTGGCACTCTGTAAAGTTTCATGCCCAACTGACACCTGCGTTAGTGTGATGTCAGACTAGATGTTGCAATTTAAGCTTGGTAGCCGATTGTGTTTCATCATATAATATTTCATAAGGTTATTGAAACACTCGATCACTGTAAAATCCGGTACTACAGGAAGGTGTGTACGTTTTTAAATGTCGATGATAGAATAATTAACAGAAAGGAATCGGCGTAGGTTGGAGCATTTGGTTAAAATTCGGTTCAAAACATTTAAATCTGCGTCGTCTCATAGTAATTTCACCATGACCTCATGACTGATATCCTGTCGTTGTGACAGCATATTTATTTCCCTTTTTAATAAAATATTTGCTCAAATGTTGGATGAATTAAATGTCAGTTTGAAATCGAGAAACTTTCGGGCCTCATGTGGTGAATGACGATCGTTTGACGTGTTGGAGGAGTAACACAATTTTTTGCCTGATCACTATTTTGCATTCACGTCCTGATAAAGGAAAATTGGGATGTTTTATGGTCAGATGTGTGACTAAAGATTTTGCCCTAAATGGTACTACAGCAAGTTTGAATTGGTGACAGGCGTCTAGGAGAAAATGCTGAAGGCATAATTCGTTATTGTAGAATCGCCGATTACGCGGGTTACGAAGAGTTTTTGCATAAAGTTATATGAGTTGTGAAGGTTTAAATCGAATGAGTTAACATTGTAGCATTTGTAATACATGTTGAGGTGGATGAGGAGCTAATACACGGGGGCGATACTGTTTTAGACCTTGGCTAATGATACTTGGATGATCTAACTTTTATCGCTAAATAACATCAACCAGCTTCAAGGCCGTTAACCTATGGGCTGGTTTGTTCATCAGCTGAGTAAATGTAGGTTCCTGATCATCTACTGTTGACCTTCCAGCCGAATCCATTTGCAGCAATGGAGGCAGTTTATTTACTAAGCTTAATATTCTATGGTAGAACGGATAAAACAACTGTACAGTAAATTCGTCCATTGGTTAGCAGACAGATATCTCACCTACACCAAAAGTGGCGCAAGCTGACAAGAGCCAGTTGAGTTTTTTGTATGCGTTTGAGCGCCAACGCAATCCAAACCTGAAGCAAGATTTTGCATTTAGAGGGGGAGAATCTGTTAGGATATTCATCCAATATCCTAAGAGAATTATTGGTCAATTCTTATTGGTTAATTTCTACTCGTCAATTTCATGGTTGTCATAGATATCAATGTCACTTGCTCCAATGTTGTTTCTTATTGGTTGTCCTGACTATCAATGTCACTTCAAATGTTGCTTCCCATTGGTTGTCTTAACTGCCAATGTCACGGACTTCGATGCTGTTTCCTATTCGACCAAAATGTACAAATACGCATAATCTGTAGTGTTTTATGACCAGGACCCGGTCCCAGATCCCTGGTCCGGGATCTTGATTCTCTTCTGGACTCGGACCTCGTACTTTCTGAATGCTTGTAGAATATATGTCCTACTTTATATCAAGTCTTCTTATTTTTACTCAACATAGTGGTTGGGATAATAGGATTTGAGTAGCATGTCATGTCGCCGGATCTTCGGTCTCGTTTTCCGACTAGGTAAACTCGTAATAGTTCAAGCATATCTAAATGTCGTGTTTACGTGCGGGTATAACAGAATCGCATCGCGAACATGCTTGTATTATTGCTTAAGATGGTCGTAAGACTATGTATTTTGTCAGCATGTTCACTAAATAGAACTAAATTATTGGCGTAATTTAAGTCAATAAGTGAATCCCCCTGTAAAAGTTCAACTCCTGAAAAGTCAGATGATAAAAGTGTCGTCTCTAAAAGCAAGTCAACGACAAAGTAGGATAGGATTGAAGAAAGTGGATAACCCTGACGGGAGCCACTTGAAGTAATGTACCTCTATGGAACTCCTTCCAAAGACCACAGGACTTCAGGATCAACAGCGTCAAACGCTACCTTAAAATCAAGGAATATAATACTTGTTGGAAACCAAAATGTGTGTCTATGTTCTGGGACTTGACGAAGTGTGACTAAACTATCCATCCACGTCCAAATCTAAAACTAGCCTGGTTTGCTCTTCACAAGCTCCAGTTGAACGTGAAAGTATTATTATCCTTAAAATGAATCCATCATATTAGTGCATATGCCAGGATCGTAGGTAGGAATTACACATCAGGTCACATATTGTCTAGGGTAACTGTAGTCTCTTTAAAAAGTTAATTTAAATCATGCAGACGCGTAATAACATTTTATAATCATGATTGTATTAAAAACGCGAAATAGTTATTTTCTTAAGTACTCATTCACATAAATTTATGGGAATTCCCCAAGCAATAACTACCCCAGATCTCACATTTGCTATTTTTGCCTGTTCGAAACCAATTCCTACTTTGAGTAAAGCATGATAGTGCCTCGTCAGATTATCAAATAATTTTATCCTAGTTCGAAATATATAGATGTATTTGTAACGATATAATCTTTGTTGTGTGTTTATCGAACATCTACAGAACTTATGGATTAAGAAATAACTTATAGAACAGGATGTTCACCCAAAATATAATCAATATACCATACAGGACCAATTTGCGAAACAAGAAATATTCGACTGGTTTTGTGATTTAAGTAAGCAATGCATCATCTTTGAAAGTCTGTTTCCAAAAAAAAACACTATCCCCATCAATAGTTGATATGCGTACACATAAAAATTTATCATTCGTAAATCAGATTCAAATACAATGAATGAGAATGTTTCCACCGTTCTCATAACCGGTGACCGAAATAGGGAACCCAATTTTGTACGAAAGATTTTCGTGATAGACAACGAGGAAATTCAATGGCATTTCAGTTAATTCGATTGTGGGTGGACCAGTCAGTCAGTCAGTCGGCTACAACTAAGACTTTCGTACATCAGTTCAAGTTGACATGCTACAACATTAGCACAGAGATCGAATTGTTGATTCAAATCTCATAGTGGTAAAGATGGTAAAAGTATTAGCGGTAATGGAGAAGATTAGGGTTCGAAGAAATCATCCGAGAAGTATAATCCAGTGAGGTAAATATAAGGATAAAAAGTCATAGGGAATTCAGATTAGAATTTGAGACAATACAAAAAATGGATACATCTGCGCCATTGCAAAAGATTTCATTGAAAAGCTCTAACCATCGGTTATTACTGTCTTGCGGACCTCAACCAGACAGTCCACACCTGCTAACATGACTCAGTCCACTTGTCAGTGACACTTCATGAATTTGTGCCATGTTTTGATTTGGCTGCCCTTGGCTTTCTTCCAGCCTACCCCTAACACAACAAAAAAAATTACTCGTCGAGCATTCGTAACACACCCCAAACCACCTCAACTGATGAAGTTTCACTACTTCGTCAATTGATCTGCCATCATTACCTAGAACCAGTTTCCTAACACCAGCATTGGTTTACTCGATAGGAATGCTTCGAAGACACCTACGATCGAATACTTGTAACAACCTACGAATATCCTATACTGACCATGATGTTTCACAGCCACAAAGTGGGACTGAGTAAACTGCTGCGTAGTAGAATCATCCCATACTAGCTTGCACAACAGTATTCACTAGCATGAAATGTGCAACTACCATAGTCAATAACAATCGGGTCTCATCGAGTTAACTATCATCTCTACCTAGTACACCAAAGGCACAAACCGCAGCATTACACTACCCCCACTACCCAATAATGATGAAATGCAATTATAATTAAAATTATTATTACTAATCTCATAGACATATGTATATGTATAAGTAAGTGTATGGTACCAATCAGTCATATGCACAGATAAAACACATACTATATAGAAAATGCACTAAGAAGTAATAAGCGATAAAGAAGTCTACTAACTGATTGATTGATTGATTGATTAGTTCAGTGTTGTTTTGAAAAATTAGCGTTTTTGGGCATGCCCAATTACATCATCATCATCATCATGTACAACATACACACACACACACGCACAGGCACACATTGAGTGTATATTTTTTCTTTTTCTTAGCCATTATATGCTAGCATAGTTTCAATTTTACGTCGAATGAATTCTTCTTCTTTGGCTCCTTCAAAACGTTCAATTTCTTTGCCATTTTTCATAGATATTATTGTTGGCACAACACTAACCTAACAAAAAACAAAATAACACACAATGAAATAATCAACAGTAAAATCGGAAAACCATATCGTAAATCGTTCATTTGCAAAATATCAGTTCATCATATTGAACTGGACTGTTCCTGTTGTAAACAACATCAATCCATTGTCACTCACTATTCATGCGTTTCATACAAATTCCATTGTGTTCCCGACTCTTCCTTTCTCTTGGTCTTCCCCTCCATCTTCTGCTGCTAGACATTACGTTGACTGACACTCACGTCATATACTACTTATAAGTAGCTCGCACCACAATCGTCCCCCCTTTTAATAAGCTGTTGCCGTACCGTTGTCATCTTTGGTGCTTTTCGTGACTCATACACTTGACAATCTAGCATTTACGCGCTTCTTCTTGTCTTCTCTCCGTAAGCCCGTTTATCTGCGGATGATACGGTGTAGTTTGTATCCTCTTGACGCCAAACTACTTTAGACGGGCTTTAAACTTGTCACTTTCAAAACAGGGACCCTGATCAGTTAATATCACATTCCATATTCCGTGACAAGCTACGATATGCCGGATCACCACTTCGGTCATTGTTATTGCCGACTGATCTGGAATGAGTGCGGCATCTATCCAACGTGTAGCGTTTACTAGTTCCCGCTGCTGGGACACGGCGGCAGGCACACTCTCGATAAATTGCGACGCCAACAACTGTGCCCCCGACTCCCCATCCATACTCGGCAATGCACGGCGCAGAAACATCGTGAGCTCCACAGCCAGCACCAACGGGTCACCATCAGCCGACAGCCTCGCCAACCGGAACCTCTGCGGCACCTCCTCCCTATCCACCGGGCTGTCGGACTCCGTCATCAGCCACACGGTGACCGTCTCCCATGCCGTCTTCCCAGCGGCACCGTCCAGGCTGTCGTATACCACCTTGGCCTCGCCTCCCCGCAGCGTCCCCAGCACCGCCAACTCCGCCCCGGGCCCCTTCGCACCCAACAGCTCCACCGCGGCCTCAAACTCCTCCAGGAAGCTCCGCAAATCTCCGTCCTCCAACTCCTTCGGCCACGAGAGCTCCTTCCTTCGAGCAGGCAGCGATACCAAATGTAGTGAAGGATAACACAGGTGGGGCAACCTGTGACAATCACTTGAAATTATTTGGTACAATGAGTATAAAAAAAGTCAACAGTTAAAAACTTCACCGAACCAACTGTTGTTCATTTAGGAAGGTGGTAGTATGGACAGTTTTGTTTCGTCATAGCTCTCTGTATTTGGTGAAGATTCTAAAAAAAAAATGTAGAGTCTTCTGACTACTCTAAGCAACAATGCAAACATGTGCGGGATGTGATATTTCCCCATCGAAATGCAAAATGTTGCTTCAGGATTGGGTTGCATCGGCACCCAGAACTATTGATAAGAAGTGAAGCAGTTGAGCATGTTGACTGCTTCGCTTATCTGGGGAGTTTCATCAGTGCTGGTGGCCTGATGACTGACAAAATCTCAGCACACATACAGAAGACTGGATTGACTTTTGCCAACTTGTATCACTTATGGTGTAGGCGCGATATCTGTCTGTTAACCAAAGAACTAGTGTACTGTGCAGCAGTTCGCTCTGTCCTACTACATGGATGCGAAACATGGCAAGTAAGAGTTATTGGTTTTCAATCATAGGTGTCTGCGAAGCCTTGCTCGTTTATCTTGGAACTACCGAGTAAACAATGCTCTTGTTAGGAAACGGGTACTAGGTAAGGATGACAGATTAATAGATGAAATATTGAAACTTCATCAGTTGAGATGGTTGGGACATGTGATACGTATGCCCAACCTCTGAGTGCCTCAATGAGTGATGTATAGTAGTGTAGGAGTAGATCGGAAGAAAGCTTACTTACTTACGCCTGTTACCCCCAATGGAGCATAGGCCGCCCACCAATTTTCGCCAACCAACTCTGTCCTGGGCTTCCCTCTCCAGTTCTGTCCAATGTTTGTTCATTCCTCTCATATCTTTCGCTATTACTCGGCGTAATATGTTCTTTGGCCTTCCTCTTTTCCTTTTGACTTGAGGGTCCCATGTGAGGGCTTGTCTCGTGACGCAGTTAGATGCTTTCCGCAATGTGTCCTATCCACCAACTCCACCGCTTGTTCCTGATTTCCTCCTCCACTCGAATCTGGTTTGTTTTCTCCCACAATACATTGTTGCTGATGGTGTCTGGCCAACGAATACGAAGTATTTTGCGTAGACAACTGTTAATAAACACTTGTATCTTCTGGATGATGGCTTTGGTAGTTCTCCATGTTTCCGCTCCATACAGTAGAACTGTCTTGACATTTGTATTGAAAATCCTGATTTTGGTTGAAAGTTGTTTGGAGTTCCAGATACTTTTCAATTGTAGAAATGCAGCCCTTGCTTTGCCAATCCGCGCCCTCACATCTGCATCGGATCCACCTTGGTTGTCGATGATACTGCCCAGATATGTAAAGGTGTTAATGTCCTCCAAGGTATCTCCACTGAGAGTGATTTGGTTGGTGCATGTTGTGTTGCATCGGAGAATTTTGCGGAAGAAAGCTAGGTGCGGCCAAACCAAAACATGGCACAAATCCATGAAGTAATACTGACAAGAGGACTGAGTTATGTTGGTAGGTGTAGTAGACTACCCAGTTGAGGGCCGCGAGATAATAGTAATCGATGGTTAGAGGAGACCTTGAATGAAATGGCTCAAAATCATTTGCTATGGTACAGGTGCATCCCCTCTTTGTCTTCTCTCACATTCTAATCGCTTGGATTTCTCATCACCTCTATCTTTCTCTTTTCGAGTTTATTTCAATGAATTATACTAGTCGGATAATTCCTTCGAACCCTAATTTTCTTCTTCATTACCGCTAATACTTCTACTATCTCTACGATTATAGGATTTGAATTGACAAGTGCATCTCTGTGTTATTGTGATATGCCAACCTGAAATAATGTACATACATATGTACGAAGTTCTACATTGTAACTGATTGACTGTTTCTCTATAAATTAACAATCCTTAAAATTGCGTTCATTTACAAACCTTTCAAAATCCTTAGGGTTGATACTATTTTCATAATGTAGCTTGCTCAACAAGTACAAATTCATGTACTGAGCTTTGAGCTACTCATTACTCATAGGGGGACACTAACAGTCTGTCTTACCAGGCCGATCAAATCGAAGTAAATGAAGTGGGACTGGAACATGTCACATAGTATGGTTGACAGTCGAATGTATTAACTGCCAAAGTTACCACTGCATGCTTTCATGTTACTTCAGATGTTCGACATTTGATTAATTAGAAAATAATGTGTAGGCATTTACAATTCACTCAAGTATCACAATCAAATAACAGAAATTTAGATAAATCATAGTTTAAATGTCAAAACTATTCTATTCTACCTTATACTTTAAAGCAATAGAATCCAACTGATCAATATCAACTTTAGCGAGTAGCACAGAGTTCATATACGATTTCATTACATTTTCTAATCTTGGACCTAAGATTTTACAAGGTCCACACCTAAAAAAATAAGTAAATAGAAATAACAGATTAATGTGTAGTGTTCTCGAACAAACAAACAAACTTAGCTCCCAAAATGAATCAAAAAGCACCTGATACATACGAAAAACAAATTGAATCATTTTAATGACAGTGCACCTCTCATATAACTTATGATATTGCTTACTAAATAATAAGTCTGTAAGATCTGAATAACCCCATCTGCCTCTAATAACCCCAGATTAAATCTACACTGCAATTTGAACACAAAATAGAAAGGCGCGAAGTATGTGATATGAACGCTCGCTCTACTCACAGGTTAGTTTATGTACACAAAAAAAATGAGTCGCTCATAACTTGAGGCCTCTGGAGGGTTCGACAATCATACTAAATATAGTAGTAGTGTAGTGAAGGAGAACATAGGTGGGGCAACAGAATTGTATCCAACGAAAATTACAGAGTTACTCAGTCAGTAAAATCGGAAAACCATATCGTAAATCGTTCATTTGCAAAATATCAGTTCATCATATTGAACTGGACTGTTCCTGTTGTAAACACAACATCAATCCATTGTCACTATTCATGCGTTTCATACAAATTCCATTGTGTTCTAACTCTTCTTTCTTTCTTGATCTTTCCCCATCTTCTGCTGCTGCCAGATAAGTAGCTCGCACCACAGCGGTTTGGCTGAATATCCAATCAGAGTCGTGGTACATGATTCCACATCTTTCAGATGTTTCTGCGAAGATTTTTTGTTCAGTGCTGATTGCATAAGATGTTTCGTGGCATTTCTGGGGACTTTTCGCAGCGGGCTCTCCCAAACCAGATAAATCCCTTGCATCTTACTAATATATTTCATCTCACTGAGGCGATTTATGGAGACATTGATTGAAGTACGACTGCTGTTAACTAGAGTACTGGAAATTCCAGTTTATTTCAAAGTTCATGGACTCAACTGTTAGCAGGTAAGTTTATTTCAGCTTAGTGGAGAGAATAGAGAAGTTCCCTTTTGAGTGCTTATCAACATGTGAAATGAGATACTCCCACAACACTCAAACCAGAAGTGGGTTGTTATTTTTAGGGGCCACTTTCAATCCTCTGACGTAGAAATTCACAACAGGAAACACTAGATGTAGTCCTACAGTAACCGGCGACCAGAATAGATCTACAAGCCATTCGTTTCCACAGGATCGTAGAGTCTATATATACTATTGTTTTAAAGCAGTTTTCCAACGCCTATAAGTCAGTCAGTCAGTCAGTTGTAACGTAGAACTTCGTACGTATGTACATAAGTTCAGGTTGCCATACCACATGAGCACAGAGACGCAAATGTCAAATCAAATCCCATAATGAAAAAGATAGTAAAGGTATTAATGGTAATGAAGAGGATGGGCAACGCCTATAAGTGCACCGTCCATACAAACTAACGCGGTTTAGTCACCAGATATTCATTTTTGTTCTATTTCTTTTGCAAAAATACCACAGCTGCATAAAGGCAGCGAGAATGACTCTATTGGCAGAGGATATAAACCAATCCCAGAGAGAGAGAGACAGGGAACTTTCTAACTATTGTCATTTTAGGAGATTCAGGGTGTATATAATATGGAAGAGTTCCCCCCAGTAGGAGGATGATGAGGCTGTCTTTGATTTCGAATCACTTGAGGACTTCCGTCAATAATACACTTCCGTGGGTAGTAGCCATTACTGTTAGTGGGACATAGATGGAACAATTACTAAGCTACACTTTTTACACTTGTTTATCAACTATGATTAGCATTTGTCTCATCAAAGAATTAAAACAAAGAAAACATCTATTCAACACTCTCTAGTTTTCAATGTTCTATAGTCAATATAAATCAATGTGATAAAATGTAATTCATAATCAGTCAGTCAGATGCAACATAGAACTTTGCACGTAAGTACATCAGTTCATGTTGCCATACCACATCAGCACGGAGACGCAAATGTCAAATCTAATCCAATAGTAGAAGAGGTAGTAAAAGGTATTAGAAGTAATCGGAGAGGTTAGAATTAGAAGATATTATTCACGAAGTATGATTCAATGAGATAAGTTTAGAAAGTCAAAACTAGAGGTGTTGAAGAACCCAGAAGATTAGGATTTGAGAGAACACAAAGAATAAATGCACCGGCGCCATTGCAAACGATTTTGAGCCATGTCATTCAAGGTCTCTAGCCATCGATTATTATCAGCTCGCGGACCCAAACCAGGTAGTCGACAATTACCCACATGACTCAGTCCACTTGTCAGTGACTTCATGGTTTTCTGCCATGTTTTGGTTTGGCCACCCCTAACTTTCTTCCAACCTACTTCTACACTACAAAATAAAGCTCGTCAAGGTAGTCGGTGGTTAGGCATACGCAACACATGTCCCAACCACCTCAAACTTGATGAACCTTTCATTACTTCATCAATTGCATTTTGCCATTCTTTCCCGACGTAGCTGCTACCTTGACGTGGTGGTCGGGCTTAATCTATCCGTGTGATGACCCAACCGAGCTATCTGCTGGAACATATGTTCCTCAAGGTTCTCTTACCATGCCAGACAGGTCGATTGGAGAACGATCAGACAAAAAGCAGCTACCCAAGGTCTGAAGGGCGAAGTCAGTATTGCTGACTGCAGAGGGGTGTGACAGCAGTAAGGTGTTTCCCTCGGATAACCAGCATCTGCAGCGATGCTGCCTTCTCACAAGGAAGGAAGCGTTAGAAAAGGTCGACTGACGTGGATCGGCAAAAAACAAGTGAACAATAAATATCTGGAATTCAATACAACTGTCAACAAAAAACCCCAATGTCACAATTCACAATACAAATGTCAAGACAGTTCTACTACTGTATGAGGCAGAAACTTGGCAAACTATCAAAGCCATCATACCCACAAGATACAAGTATTTATTAACAGTTGTCTACGTAAACTACTTCGGATTTGTTGACCAGACACCATCAGCAACAACCTACTTTGTGGGAAAAAACAAACCAGATTCCAGTTGAGGAAGAAGCGCTGGAGTTGGTGAATAGGATAAGTCAGTCAGTCAGTTGCAACGTAGAACTTCGTACGTAAGTACATCAGTTCATGTCGCCATACCACATCAGCACAGAGATATATTTGTCAATTCAAATCCAATAGTAGAAGAGGTAGTAAAAGTATTAGAAGTAATCGAAGAGGTTAGAATTAGAAGATATTATTCACGAAGTATGATTCAATGAGATAAGTTTAGAAAGTTCAAAACTAGAGGTGTTGAAGAACCCAGAAGATTAGGATTTGAGAGAACACAAAGAATAAATGCACTGGCGCCATTGCGAACGATTTTGAGCCATGTCATTCAAGGTCTCTAGCCATCGATTATTATCAGCTCGCGGACCCAAACCAGGTAGTCGACAATTACCCACATGGCTATGTCCACTCGTCAATGACTTCATGGATTTGTACCATGTTTTGGTTTGGCCACCCCTAACTTTCTTCCAACCTACTCCTACACTACAAAACAAAGCTCGACGAGGCAGTCGCTGGTTAGGCATACGCAACACATGTCCCAACCACCTCAACTGATGAAGTTTCACCACTTCATCTATTGATCTGCCATTCTTACCTAGTACCCGATTCCTAATAACAGCGTTGCTCACTCGGGTGTCCCAGGATATACGAGCAATGCTTCGAAGACATCTATGATCGAAAACCAATAACCGACGAGTATCTTCTACTCTCACTGGCCATGTTTCACAGCCATAAAGTAAGACGGAGCGAACCACTGCGCAGTACACTCGTCCTTCAGTCAGCAAACGGATATCTCGCCTACGCCATAAGTGACGAAGGTTGGCGAAAGCCAATCGAGCCTTCTGTATCCGTGCCGAGATTTCGTCAGTCACCAGGCCATCGGCACTGATGAGACTCCCAAGATAAGTGAAGCAGTCTACACGTTCGACTACTTCACTCCCTATCACTAGTTCAAGTGCCGATACAACCCACTCTTGAAGCAACATTTTGCATTTCGAGGGGGAAAACCGCATCCCGAACATGCTTGCATTGTTGCTTAGGGTAGTCAGAAGACGCTGCATTTTGTCAGCGTCTTCACCAAGTAGGACAATGTCATCGGCATATTCTAAGTCAATAAGCGGTGAATAGGATAAACACATTGAGGAAAGCACTCGACTGCGTCACACGACATGCCTTCACTTGGAACCCTCCAGATCAAAGGAAAGGAGGAAGACCATAAAACACATCATGAAGACAGACATATGAGAAGAGTGACTAACAACAACTGGACAGAACTGGAAAGGGAGACCTAGGACTGAGTAAGCTGGATAAAAACTAGTCGGTGGTCTACACTTCATTGGAAGGTAACAAGGGTAAGTTATTAATAATAATTTCACAATCATAACAACTCACCATTTAGCATGAAAATCAACAAGAACAGGTGCTTGATTTTTTAATACACGATTAGTAAAATCATCATCATCTTGAATATTTGTAATTCCATATTCTGTATTAACATTGGCAGCAGCATTCGATAATAAACGTGAAACTGGCACCTGTTTCAAATTAACATCAATAATTAATTTTATTTGGAAAACGCAACCTACCGAACAAAATACAGATCCGGCGGCAGTGCATTTCAACAGACTGAAAGTAAGCATTTTACAAACAATTGACTGACATCTTACCGTATCAGAGGGAAATGAATCATCTGAAATATAAGTTAAATGATCAATGAATTGTTTACAGAACTAATATATATATAGTGAAGGAGAACACAGGTGAGGGCAGCCAAAATTGTATTTAACAAAAATTACAGAGTTACTCAGTCAGTAAATCGGAAAACCATATTGTAAATCGTTCATTTGCAAAAAATATCAGTTCATCATATCAAAAACTGGACTGTTACTGTTGCAAACAACATCAATCCATTCTCACTCAGTATTCATGCATTTCATACACAAATTCCATTGTGTGTTCTAACTCTTCTTCCTTTCTTGATCTTTCCCCATCTTCTGCTGCTGCCAGACATTACGTTGACTGACACTCACGGTCATATACTACTTATAAGTAGCTCACACCATATATATATATATAAACAAATTAAAGATTTGAATTGAAAAAGTAAGAAATAATTAAATGAATGTAATTTTATTATTAATTAATAGTATTATTATTATCATTATCAGATTGTACATCCATAAATCCTAAACGTGCTTCATTTTGCCAGACACATCAATATAACATTGTACACAATGAATTATACAATTCTCAGTTCTAGAATCAAGTGAATTATTCAATTTGCTGGTCACACATTTATCCCAACAAATTGATGTTAACTGATGACCTAATTGATGAAATCGTTGTTTTTGTAATTCTTGTAATAATTGACGTTGTAATTCTTCATCATTAGTCATTGAAATTTGATTTTGAATTTTATTTATTGTTCAATAACTAAAATATAACAAGAGAACAATTGAACATTGAAAAAAATATATATATATATGGCATAGTAGATTATAAAATATAATTGTGAACAGATTAATCAGACAAAGAGCACAAACAGAAAAAGTATAGACAGACACGTATGAGGGCGGTTGTCACTTCCCAGTTGCTTACACCGTGGGTGTTTCTTGAGGAACCTGAAAAAGTAAGATAGATTAGTGTTGATCTTAACGATCTGGGAGCGTGACCGCAGAGTCCAAGGGACAACTGCTTCAGGCCGGTCACGCAAGGCCTTTTTATGTGAAAGGATTTTTTGAGTATTAGCTCCGCTCTTGAAAGCCCTTAGTGGGCACCCTTACAGCCGGAGACGGAAATCCGTGAGGTAGGGTGAGGTGTGACATTTTTAGGGTCGACCTTTTCTAACCTGCTCCTTCCTTTTGAGAAGGCAGCATCGCTGCAGATGCTGGTTGTCCGAGGGAAGCATCTTACTGCCTGCTGTCACACACCTCTGAAGTCAGCAGTACGACTTCGCCCTCAGACCTTAAGTTGCTTGTTTTAGTCTCATCGTTCTCCAATCGACCTGCCTACCTGGCATGGTAGAACCTTCAGGAACATATTTTCCAGTCAATATAGCTCGGTTGGGTCATCAAACGATAGGCAAGCCCGACGACCACCACGTCAAGTCAAGGTAGCAGATACGGCCGAGCGGACAATAAGTACATAGATATGATGTTGACAAATTTTCAAGCTATCGAGATATTCAATAAAAGTAGTTAAATCGAATGAGATACTATTATATAAGTCCAAAAGAACTAAAGTGTAATAAAACAAAACGATAAATTTGCAAAAACAAAATAATCACTAGCAAACATTTGCACTCTTATCACATATTAAAATGGTCCAGAGGTTAGACGTTCGCGCGCAAGACTGAAAGTCCCGGATTCGAATCCTGCGAGGTGCAGGAATCGTGGATGAGCAGTCAGTCCCATACACCAGGACGAAACGGCCGTCTCTCGGTGATTCCAGGTTTCTAATGGTGATAGTCTAACATTGATCGATTCATGATTTTTAAATATTTAAGTTAACAGAAAACTGTCTAGCGGTTCACGTCATAAATACAAGTTCTTGCCAGATGATGATAATAGAATTTAACTGCTCAAATACATGAGTTCATGTGATCAGCTTTGCAGTATATTTCTAAGAGAGTAAATGATGTTATCCAACAGCTTGATGACTAAAGCATTCATCTTTTAAACACAAGGCTGCTCTCAGCACGGATACAGAAGGCTCGATTGGCTTTTGCCAACCTGCGTCACTTATGGCGTAGGCGAGATATCTGTTTGCTGACTAAAGGACGAGTGTACTGTGCAGCAGTTCGCTCCGTCTTACTTTATGGCTGTGAAACATGGCCAGTGAGAGTAGAAGATATTCGTAGGTTACTGGTTTTCGATCATAGGTGTCTTCGAAGTATTGATCGTATATCGTGGGACACACGAGTGAGCAACGCTGTTATTAGGAAACGGGTGCTACGTAAGAATGGAAGATCAATAGATGAAGTATTGAAACTTCATCAGTTGAAGTGGTTGGGACATGTGTTACGCATGCCCAACCACCGACTGCCTCGTCGAATTTTGTTTTGTAGTGTAGGAATAGGTTGGAAGAAAGTTAGGGGCGGCCAAACCAAAACATGGCACAAATCCATGAAGTCATTGACGAGTGGACTTAGCCATGTCGGTAATTGTCGACTACCTGGTTGGGGTCCGCGAGCTGATAATAATCGATGGCTAGAGACCTTGAATGACATGGCTCAAAATCGTTCGCAATGGCGCCAGTGCATTTATTCTTTGTGTTCTCTCAAATCCTAATCTTCTGGGTTCTTCAACACCTCTAGTTTTGACTTTTCCTAACTTATCTCACTGAATCACATAATTCATGAATAATATCTTCTCATCCTAACCTCTCCGATTACTTCTAATACCTTTACTACCTCTTCTACTATTGGATTTGAATCGACAATTACATCTCTGTGCTAATGTGGTATGGCGACATGAACTGATGTACTTACGTACGAAGTTCTTCTTTGCAACTGACTGACTGACTGACACAAGGCTGCTACTGATTCAAATACGGCCATTTATTTTAATCCAGGTAACCGAAAGTGATCACCAACGTTTAAAGACATAATCATGAACTTGTTAAATGAATTATTAACTAATAATGCATGATTGGAACCAGCAACATAAACGTTTTTTAAAGTCAACTTAGTTTAACGACTACGCTATAACTCCAAACATCCATTTATGAAGCTTGACTATGTGATGTAATAATGCTTTAGTAATCAATGATTAAAACATTAATAACATGTAATATCATACATAACGAGAAAACCATGACCGACCCTAGGAAGTTTTATGCACGAAAGTAGTGATAAGTCGGGCATTGGCCTCGTAAATGAAACATTTTGAGCAGGATAAGGCAAAAAGGAACGGTACAATCAATAGACAGATACAAAAAAAAGTATTTAATAACAGAAACAGTTTAGTTAAATATACAGCCAACAAGACATCCCTTAACTAAGGAATTTTCAGTCAGACAGTCAGTCAGTTGCAACGTAGAACTTTGTACGTACGTACATCAGTCCAAGTTACCACACAACATAAGCACAGAGAGATGTCAATTCTAATCCCATAGTATTAAAGGTAGCAGAAATATTAGCAGTAATCGAAAAGATTAATGATCGAATAAATCATTCAAGATGTATATTCCAGAGGAATCAATTAAAACAGAGAGAAAAAACGGTCATGAAGAATTCAGAAGATTAGAATTTAAGAGAACATAAAGAATGGATGCATCCGCGCTAATGCAAATGGTTTTGAGCCATGTCATTCAAGATCTCTAACCACTGATTAGTATGATCTCGCGAACCCCAACCAGCTAGTCTACACTTACCGACATGACTCAATTTAGTTGTCAGGTACATCATCCATCGGTTTGTGCCATGTTTTGTTTTGTCCCCCTCTTGGCTTTCTTCCAACCTACTCCTACACCGCAAAATATAGCTCGACGAGGCAGTCGGTGGTTGGGAATTAAGGAAGTTTATTTCAATTTTACGTAGTTTAATTGAAAATTACAGTATGATATCTACGGAATCTTACTTTAGACTACAGTGATAACATTTCAAGCTATAGAGTTAAGCAATCTCTAGGATTTCAATCGGTGCCGTGATGGATTAGGTTAGTCAGATATTAATTAATTAGAGAATTAGTAGTCTACAAGCTAATTTCTTTTAATCGTCTATGATATTTTATCTTCCTTATTTTACGTCCATACTTTGTATAAAAGCATGTTATCACATTAGAAGAAAAAATTCATCTGGCTAGTAATCTTGTCCTAGATTTCTAATCACTGGGTGGTCTAAGTTAGCTGTATATATTTGCTAATAAGGTAACGGCAACTTGAACTGATGTATGTACGTACGATGTTCTTTCTATGTTGTCCATCGTCTATCAGTCAGCATTTCATGCATTGATTTCAAGTTTAAATCGTTTGTTTGATTGTTACACAACTTAATTGATAGGTAGGATTTTGGTTAACTTGGATTTTAAGTCGTAATTAATAATATTACCGTTTATTTCCAATGTTAGCTCAATTTATAAACGCCTATTGATTTTCACACAATCCTTAACTATTATTATTATTATTAACACTATACAACCTAGTATTAATATCTTTTTCCGACATTATGACTTTACTTTTTTCCTACAGGAATTCGTCCTCCAAATTATGATGACTAGTTTATCTGATTTGTTAAGACTTTATTCAAGAATTAATGATGAGCCAACAGATGACCCCATAATATCCTTAAGTTTCAGGTGCTCTCTTAGGTGTGTTTGGTAATGAAACCATTACAGCGTTGCGAGTGGAGTATACGCAAGTTACTAGAGCCAATACTGTACGACGATATTGGCGATAAGCTCATCACTGAAAAGCATAATCTAACATTTTGTTAAGAAATAGCAAACCATTAAAGGTTGCAACAAAGCATGTTGAATTTCAAACTACGTTTCTGTCTAACAGTACCAGATAAGATGTTCTGGATACCAACCAGGCTTTTACACTTGTAAAGTAATATTATCGACTTGTGTTTTGATTTAGGCATGAAAAACTGAAGTGGCTCATCAGTCAGTCAGTTACAACGTAGAACTCCGTACGTAGGTACATAAGTGTAGGTTGCCATACCACTTCAGCACAGACAAGCAATCGTCA